GCGAAACTATTTTCTTCTGCTGAACGCAGCTATTGTATCCAACCATCAATCCAAAACAAATCATTTTGTGTATCATTTGCGACTTTCCGACCGCATCGAAAATTAAAAGATGAACAATAAATTGATGAGCAATAATAAGTTTTGCACTAGAGCAACTGTCCCAATTACTGTGCCTGTCCCTATTAGTGTGCTTTTGTATTTCGATAAGCCATAAAGAAAACTAGCACAAATAAATAAAAAAAAATATTTTTTTTGTTAAGTTAAATTATTAATGCATACACACACGATATCGATAATATCTTATTTTTTAAGCATTAAAGTATTTTAAATATTTTTCGAAAAATATAAGGAATTCATGTGAATCCAGTTTTACGTATCGCAAAATTTTAAGCTTATCCTTATTAATGTGCCCTGTATTGGAGCTGAGAACATCGTGTTATGAGTGTAATGAAATAAATATAATTAAAATAATGATTTATGTAATATTAACATAAACAAACTTAAACTTATTACCTGTTTTAATAACTATATGTTAAAATAAATCAAATGTGGATAGGCACGCAAATTGAGGATACATTAATAAGGCCCTCATTAAGTTTGGGCCCAGTTGCATCAATGTCACTTTGACTTTAAGCGAGACTTAAAACTCTGTCTCGTTTTAAAGCGACAGAAAAAAGAGACAGAGATAGAAAGAGTTTTAAGCCTCGCTTAAAATCAAAGTAACGTTAGTGCAATCAGACCTTATAGGAACAAAAACATATTTTCTATTTTTGTCAACAGCATTATAAAGTATTAACATTTTTTAGATTAAAGAAACATTATAAGAAAAAGAAATAGTTGGAAAACCGATATTAATTGCAAGTAGGTAAAATTAAAGCTACGATATTTAATAATTAATTCAATAATAAGCAACTTGGCTAAAAGGCACATTAATAGGGACAGTTACCCTAGTAATATGTAATTGAGCATGAGTAGTATGTCGACTGTTTTAATATTTTTTAATAAAAAAACAATCACAATACATGAATATCTACATAGATTGGGTGCGTTTCGAGTTACGCATGAAGTATATAGTGTATCATTTTATCTTTCTTTATTATTCGATAAACAACAGAGACAAACATTGCATAATGCGTTTCATGTGTTATTCGGAACGCATCTTTTATGACGCGTTCAAACTAAAAGTGCCTAATTTCAGGTGTGAGGGCGCAACCAGCCGAGAGTACATTCTCACATCGTGACGTACTTCGCGCGATGCGCGTTTGTTCAAGTAGGGCGATCTTTACCGGCCTTCTACTTCCTCTTCTCGTGACTTGATACAATGGCGACTGGAGTAAGTAACTTTCACGCGGTTTTTCACCGGTTCGCATCCGCGCCGTGAAGCGCCAACACTGGCGACGGAATGTCAGAAAATAAAGCCTACACAATGCGTTATCCGCCCCACTGTGAATTTCTTTCAGATCCTTTACACGTACCCGGAAAATTTCCGAGCCTACAAGGCCCTGATAGCGGCTCAATTCTCTGGCATCCAGATTAAAATTGCCGATGACTTCGTCTTTGGCGAGACTAACAAAAGCGAAGCGTTTCTGAAGAAGTTTCCGTTGGGAAAGGTAAGCCGACTCACTCGCGTTACCTTCGTTCGACTTCTGTACGAATTTTTTTTATTTTGTGCAGTGTAACATTAACACGCTTTTTCTATCGTCACGTATGATGACAGAGACTGTAAAATACTTTGTCAATACTGGTACTTTTGGTTTATAACAAACTATCGTGAAGTACCATTCAGGGAACGTTCCTTTATTATACTCCAATTGTTTTCATATTTAAAACATTCTGGCATACAAAAATGTAGCGAGTCATATGGTATGGTTAGAATTGGCGCTCATATTCTTATTGTAGGAATATTCAATCGTGTATAATAGATCTGTGTGATATAAATAAAATAATAAGATGATTAATTTTTTTATATCAGAAACAAAAGAAGAGTAGGAAAGAAGGATGGGGTGGGAATAGGAGCAACTTTTCTCATTTTTAGCTGCTATTTGAATACATTGTAATATAATAGGACATATCTTTCAATATATATAAAATTATTTAAGGTTCCAGCATTTGAAACATGCGATG